CATTAATTTTAAAATTTAAGAATAATTTTTTAACAAGCACCCGTGTAATACACGGGCATTATACCAGTTCTACTAGTATAGGAAGATAATACGGTCTCGTCACAGAACCAGTCCGTCGGGTTTGTAATCATTAGATCAACAATCTCTGACGATTACATAATGATCTAACGATTATAAACTCCAACGAAATAGTTTGGTTTTGTATTGAAACCTTAGCATCTCCCACTAGTATAAAGATATTTGGAACAAACGCTAGAAGGAAAAATTCATCCTCTCAACTTCTCTGTTTTTCTACAAGAAAATAATTGGACTCTTCTGAGCCGGAAAAGGGCGGCGGCGCGTCCGAAAATCTCCCAAGAGCCGGCGGGTCTCACAGCGGCCACCGCCGTCGCGGCGGCTGGTTGACAATATCTCTCGGGTCGCGATTTCTAGTTCCTTCGTCTCGTCCAGATAAATCTGCCTGTCTCTGCACTCCACACTGCAAAATCCCAAATCACCCCTGCAATTTCACAAGTCCAGAAAAATCAGAATATGTACATTATATTTGATGATTAATTTGATAATGTATATGCCCACCTCACCTACACCTCACCTGTACATATATATATCTTTATCAAGACTCAAGGGCTTGCTGCAAAGATGGCACGATTTGAGATAGCAGCAGCAAAGTGTTGTTAATGGTTTCGAAATGGGCTTCACAACAATGTTATTTGAATTTAAATTTGCAAGCTTTTTGAGGATTAATCTCAGCCCTTCATCATCATCATCTGACAATATATGTAAATATATGTAATTTTACCTTTCTGCCCTTAGTTGTAACTTGTGAAAGATAAGTTGTCATTCTATTTTAGCAACTTCAGTTATTTCAGATAATAGGGATATATAAAGGGTCTTGTACTTGTAATGAACCCTAAGTTTTTCATTCTATCAATTCAAGTGCGTAGTTTTTCTCTTTTCCCATTTTTCTCTCTCGAGTTCTTCGGTCTTGTTCATCATGATTTCTCAGATTCTCTAGAATCTTGTTATGGTATCATTCGCTGGGACGATTTGATCTGTTTTCCGCAATTTCTCGTACTCTGATCTTTGTTTTCTGTTACTACTCGATCTGCTTGATCCGAAAACCCTAATTTCGATCGCAAATGGCCGCAAATCCTTCTGACGATCCATCTTCTGTATATTTTCTTCACGCTAGCGACAATCCTGGTGCCTTGATCGTCGCTGATCCCTTTGCCGGCGA